ATGTGAGATTTAAAGTGAAAATGGTTAGAAATAATGTAATTATAAAGTAATATTTTGAGATTGGAAGTATTTTTGAGGCAGAACCAGGCTTCCAAGAGCCCATCAGATACCATATTCTGCATACAAAGAATATTGTCATCATTAGAAAAGTAACTATTACTATTTCTTCTGCTCATGCTGCAAGGAACGATAAAATAGGAGAGGAAATTAGAGCAGCATCTCAGGAGAAACATCTAGACTGAAAATACTGCTACATCATCATGCACAGTCTCAATTAATGATATCATAATAGCCAACTTTAAGGTTGTGGATGAATACAGTTTTACAACTTATTTACGCACCACTATTCCCAAGCGGCTCTTTGTGCCTCCCAGGGCAATCCCATTAAATTAGGGAAAACTCTGCAGGAAACAGAAATACAATTTCCTCATTCAGCTTGTGAGAGTTTTCATTTTGCGGTTAAACCCCAGTCTCACCATAATGGACTGGCTTCCAATAAAATTTCAGCTTCATTTGCCTGCCTCTGTTGCCACAATGAGGTGTTGTAAGAAGAGACATATACCGTAGACACGCAAATGTTCATGTTCAGCAAATGCAATCCTTCATCGAGGATAAGTGTAGGTGTCCTGCCCTTCTGGTAACCTCAAGATGTCTGCACCTTGCTTATATCAAGCATAAGTGTATGAATTGTGTCTAAAATTTAGTTTTTCAGATTCAGAAGCAGCACCGCCAAGGCCATTGGCTACACAATGTGCTCTCACACTCATCTTAGAGGGGAAAAAAAGCATTGATTGGAAACACTCTCATTCTATCCAGAGTCTGCTGAGGAGTTGCCATGGCAACCTCGCAGAGATGGAAAACTCGCAGTTCTTTGCCTCACAGATTCATCGTCTGGCTGTGATTAAATAGGACAGTGTGTTGCCCTGTGTTGATAGCATTGTGTATGATGGACGGAGCCGATTGTGTTAGGTACTGTATATGCGCCTGATGACTCTGTGTATATCTGTTTATGAAAGTACATATGTGATTGTGGAAAAATACTTTCTGAGGCAATAGAGGTAGGAGGGCATCAAAGCATGTCCACGTCCTGTTTGCGTAGCGTAACATCCTGTCAACTAAGATGCCTTTGTATGGATGGTTTTTGAAGGAAGCAGGTTTGGAAGGACAGTGGAACATTTACAAATAGCATCTGATGAAGACGTTGAAAGTAAATTAATTCATAAATGTCATTTCCCCCCTTTATAGGCATAGTTCATCCTGTTGTACTTACTCTCAGTCTCATGCTGTCCCAAACCCATAAAAAAACCATTGGTTATTTATTATTTGAAACACAAATTAGGATTTTTTTATTTATTTATTGAAACCTGAGAGGTTTATGGCCCTCCATGAAAACTTAGAAGATCCAAACAAGGTCATAAAGTCATAGTGAAATGAATCCATTTGAATCGAGTGCTTTAATCCAAGTCTTGTGAGGAGATATGATGGCTTATATGATGATCAGATTTAATTTAGGCACATCTAAACACATACATAGAGCCCATTAAATATGGTAAACACGGACGCTCAAATGTGCCTGCTTCACACATTAAAATACAACTCAATGGTTCACGTTTGAACTTCCGTATTTTCCATTATTTGATGTGCTCTATATGTGTGTTGACTATATGTAAAAAAAAAAATGTTAATATAAAGCGATCTTATTTATTAACAGGACTTGGTATTAAAACTATAAGTGAATAGATAGAAACCTTTCAGGTTTCATTAAAATATTTTAGTTTGTGTTTAACGGTAATTGGGTGAGTAAATAACAGATTTGTCCTTTTTGGGTGAACTTCCCCTTTAAAGTTGCATTTTCTGCTGATAAATTAGCACAGTCATGAAATATTTGCTTGGTTATATCTTATGCATCATTAGATTTGACATAATGGTGCCTTGTAAATCGACAAGAAGTTGCATTCTGTATTATAGGGCATCACAAGAACAAAGCATATTTATGTGCTTTATTTATCTACTGTTACCTATTAATATGGTCTAATGCAACATACATTGTTGTCCAGAAATGCAAACGAGAGGTCTGCTGTGCGAAGGCTTTATTTGACAGTCATGTCTGTCCCTCTCTGTTGGAGGAACCACCTTGACATTACCTTGACAGGTCGTGCCTGACATCCATGAAATGAACTTGACATTGTCTCTCTTCCTTGAAGCTGATCTGTGGACGCATTATCTTTGCCAGATGACCCCTCCATCTGTCTCCCTCTGTGTACTGCATTCAGGCTGTCCTCAAAAACAAAACAAAAAACACATTGCTTAGATCATGCAAAGTTTAGATGTTCTTGCATGTATAATCTCAAAAGTTTTTGTTGTTGAAAGCTGAGACATCACAAGGTGAATTGATAGGCCATTTGTGAATTCATAAAAAGAGCCAAACATCTGTTTGTTTACTTTAGAACAATTCACACAATTCAATTCCCTGTGTCATTGTTGAATGAAAAAAAAAAAGAGAAAATGTGCTGACCCCCCAAAATTTAATGAACTGCGTCTCTTAGAACAAGTGGGGTTCAGCCTGCATACCTGTATTGGTAGAAAGTAACAAATTATCTAGTCTAGTCTAGATGCAGCTTCTCAACTTCTAAACCATGAGTTCACATTCAGATAACACTGGCATCACTTCACATAAATATCTCCTTTTCTGAAAACATATAATGCAAAAAGAGCACATTAACTGAAATCAGTCTTATTATAGACAATCTGCTGGTATATTTGATAAACCCATGTTCCTATACCATTTTGTTAATCAATCTAGGGGACAGATGGTTTGGATGTATTACATGCAATGTTATTTTCTGCTAAATGACATGCATGCTGATAGCTACGTATTGGAAAATAAACACAATGTGCACTTTCAGGTTTGAAATGACAAATTAATGGAAAATATGGAAGAAACGCGAAAATGTAAAAATACACTGGACTTTCCAATGTTGTAATGATAAGAGACTCAAACATCGCTCACCTTCATTTTAACAGATGCTGTGCTGTTGTTTGCATTAGCCAGGTGACATAAGAGATGTTTTCTTGTTGCAGTGTCTTTAGTGAGCAATGGCTCTTCGCTTCAGGACAATAACATGATGTGCATCGGCCCAATGACAAGCTCGAAAGTAACGGATCAGGCATCCATTAATCACTTTTTCCTCTTAGATGTCTCTGTTTCCTTGTTGTCTTTTAGTCTCTAATACCTCGGTTATTCACGCTTTACTCCCCTCTCAACACAATGCATTAGGTCTTCAGGGGATGCTGTATGAAATGAATGGGAGTGAGAATCTCTTCCTCAATTTAGGTCAGCTTTCTGACCTACTTAGGACCCGCTGATTGGATTCAGCAATGCTAACCAGACCCACTTTTCCGGCTTTTTAACACTTCCTAGAGGAATGTGTTTAATCCAAAATGCCACATCTACTCTGAGCCAAAAACTGAGCTTGGCAGAGGATATACATAAAGATGAAGTTATTGTGAGGAAAGGAGACCTTGACATAGTTTGAGGTCATTTGTTAGAGCTGGTCAGTGCGTTTACTTACGATGTGTCCTAAGGAGGCTTGGATAAATACACTTGTACAAAGACATGGAAACTACAAATCAGCACAGACTGACTGTGCAATTTCTGAAATAAGATGCTGAAAATGGGGTCTTTGTTTAGCTGTACCCCACTTTTTTCATTTAGGCAATGTGCAACTACATGTAATATGGGGTTCTGGCTCAGAGATATCAACTTTAGGGACATTTAGAAAGGCATATTTGTCATACTTGGGTATTAAACTTAACCATAAACAAGAACACCTTAGAAACTGCATTGCAAAGAGTTGGCAACCATGCCGAAAACGTATCATTTACCTAACATAACCTCGGTTCTCTCTAGAAGAGGGAACGAGTATTGCGTAAATTATCTTACGCTACGGGAAATATTAATCTTTTCGATTGAAGCCAAAAAATTATCCTTAATTTTGGATTCATTATCAACGCAGTGCAGCAGCTAGCAGACCTACAGCAGGCTGTATAGCGTGCTCATGGACTGCAGCAGCCTACCACTGAGCCCGACGTGAGGATAATTAAGGATAATTTTTTGGCTTCAATATCTTGAAAAGATGAATCTTTCCCATAGCATAAGCTAACTTACGCAATACGAGATAACCTATGAGAACCCTTGCCTCGTGGCAGAGTTTATTCTGGCCAGGAACCGAGCCACCTGACTGACATATAGGGATTAATCAAAGTTATTTTTGTGCATATGTGCCATTTAGGGGCAGGTTTATTATACCAAAATAATAGACTAGCATAATAATAATAATAATAATGTCATGGCTTTATAAATGATTGTACAAAAGAAAATAGAGGAAAACATGACAGGACAGTATTGGAAATTACTGTTTTCACAAAAATACAGTGTAACAAAACTATGAGAATTTCAAAGATTTGATGACACTAACCTTGCAAACAACTGTTCACTGTAAAAAAACATTTTCAAGATTTGTCATCACAACATTTTTTCTTTTGTCAAATCAACTTATATAATTTATTTAGTTCAGATAACTTATTATTTTAAGTTTCTGATGATTAAATGACTCTCCATCGTATTAACTCACTTTTTCCAGTTCAATCAACTTAAAATTTTAAGACAACCAGGTTACTTAATTTTTTAAGTTAAACCAACAGTATTTTTTACAGTGTTGTTTTCCAGACTGATAAAATGTGTGCTTGTACTCAGAAAATTGCAAAGGCAGTTAGTTTTAACAAGACTGAGAAAGTGCTTTCCAGTTTTGTGTACAATATGCATCATCAGATGTTTAGTGAACTGAATGTGGGTGGTCCGTGGGCATGTCGTTTGAAGGTGTATTATCCTATAAATGTGGAAGAAACAGACAAAAGGCACATAAAGAATGTTGTGATATACTGATATTTTATGATACAATGTGAAAGTGTGGAAATAAAGGATAAATGCTTATTTTGGCTATGATACCAAATATTTATTTCAATATATTAAGACATATCCTCAGTTAAAATACAATGCTAAACAAAACCTCAACAAGGCAAAACTTCCAAATATCTGTCAACGTGTTCGAATGAAAGGCCATTTCTCTGATTTATCGATCTGGTTTAGAGCACTAATAAAGGAAGTGTGTCAATGACACTCATATTATAACCCACTGATCTCTTTCACATCTCAGTTTGCTGGAAAATTTACAAATACTTATTTACAGGGGTAAAAAGATTTAAAGATCTGGTTGATTTCTTTAGAAAGTACCAGCCATCACTATTAAAGGCATCATTTACAAAAGAAAAACAAAACGAAACAAATCCTTTAGTTACAGTACATACAGTATTAAGTCACCATGCATATGTAAAGACAGGTTAAAGCCATAATGTGGGGTACAATTATACTGTACAAGCACATATAAAACTTTAAAATGTCTTGGTTCTGATTCACTCTTTTAAAACAGACACATTAAAATAGGTATATACTATATAATTGAAATTTAAGTCCAATTAAAAAAAGCCCAACCTCATATAAATGACACTGTACATGAATTACTGAAATGTATCTGTCCCCTTTTTCAACATACATTCTTATTTGGCAATATTTATGTATATTACAACATGATCCTAACAAGGATGTAAACAATGAGCTAGAAATACAAATACACAGTTTAGAGCTGTTTAGAAATACACATGCCACACAGGACAAATCCTAACATTGTCTATTATGTGGATTTTATTAAAACTTTTGTTTATGCAGCACTTGTTATTATGCAATGACTGTGTCCGTTTTCCGATGCCATTCGATGGCACAGACAGTGGTTATTTAAAGCAAAGTCAATGAGCATCTGTCAATTCTGCACCATAATAATTACAGCAGAAACATTTTGTACACAGTTACTGCAAGATGGAGCTAAGTAATCACTGGTTAATAGGCATGTTGTTCTTTTTGAGGCACTCTATGAATATGATTATTAGTGTTTTTTAGTTGTTTACAAAAATAAGCAATGAATTCCCACAAGTACCTTTGGGGGGTTCCTATTGCTCTTATATTGTGTATGCTTCTCTGCAATGAGCAGTGAAGTATGAGTCATTTATTTATGCCCACACGCTTAACAATGAAGAGGACGGCGCACCTCAGTAGCTATATAACCCCATTCTGCCAGACAAAATGGGGGGACAACCAAGAAAATATGCACACTACATCACTGTAAACATACAGCAATGGGCCATAAAACACAATTATACCTGTGTTCAAAGCACACTTGTACAAAATACAGGGGCTTGCAAATCAATATATACTGTATATGAGTGAAATAGTGCTCAATGGCCTGTGTGGAACCAAATAACAGTTCTATATTACACAAAGGTAATACGACATTAATATCTGAAGAATGTATTGTTCATCTACATTACAATGCCAAAGGCTGAGTCTCTATAAATTCATTGTCTCTATGCCAGCAAAGAGCGCTTTCAGATGTTTGAATGAAAATAGCTCATTCACGGTCACCAAAACACACAGTGTATATGGTTAACGAGCCCACCAAACAAAACATCCATTTGGTTAAAAACACTGTCGCTAAAACCTTCTGTAAACATCACAATGACATTATCCTATTTTTCTAAAATCCTATTGAGTCTGATTGAAAGACCGTATTAAATATTTCATAGCGACATAGTGAAAACAGTTATTTTCCTTAAGCATGTGATTGAGTGGTCCAGTACACATACAAATATTTATATTCCGAAAATATATATAAATTTACAACATTTTTAAAAGCACCCACGTTGCCATGAGACAACAGACAGATTCCGATAAGACAATGGATTCGATAACAAAATGAATCTGGAAAAATCACAGACGAATCAAACAATCACCTTTACCAAACAGCCTCAAATGTCATATTTTGTGCTTATGTTTCCGTAACGAGGCCTACAGAATGTAGATTGAAAATGCACAACGTTGCCTTACGTGTTCTGGAGAGTTCATGTGTGGGTCAGGGAATGTAGATTTACCCAGAATGACTAGCTCTACTCATTCCCTTAACTGAGCCTCCAGTCTTCAGAGTTCAGAGAGCGAGGCAACTCTTAGGATTGGTACGGAAAGGGTTCTCTGTCACTCTTTGAACGTCAAAATGGGGGGAGGTGTAGGAGAGGGTTTGAAAAAGTGAGGCAGGTTCCTGGTGTTATCCGGACTAGGTCCTCTGTCGGGCAGCAGGATGATGTTGCCTTTCCTGCGTAGGGTGGAGTCTCGACTGGAGGTGGTAGAGAGAGTTTCCGAGGTGGCTTCACTGCTGGCTTCCACCGGTGTGACTCGGATGGTGGTGATACTCTGTTGGCGGTGGTGATGGTGGAAATGGGGATGATGGGGGTTGCTGATGTCAGGTAGGCTCCGGTTGCCATCTATGGAGCCGTAGCCATCTTTCAATGAATCGCAGCTTTCAGAGTCCCGGTTCAGGTCATTGAGCTCAAGCGACTGCCGGATGCTGACCCGCTCCTGCGGTTTCCACCTCCAGGACCCACTGCCATCTGTCGAAGGTGGTTTAACCACGGGCTTGCTCTCAGGGTGCGCCTCCACTCGAACGATGCCCGAGTTAGGTTCCTGATCCATCAGGGCTTTGTAACGGATGGATCCAGTACAACTCACGGTGCTGGCCTCACTTTTAGGACTACCATGCAACATGCCTTGCTGCTTGGACATTGCGATGACCTGCATTATACGTGGCTGGCTGTTAGTCCGGCAGACGGTGCTCTTCTCTGCCACCTTCAACCATTTCGACCGTGCCGACCCACCCCCTCCCCCACCATCATTCACCTCCTCACAATCTTCTTGAGGTGAGGAGCTCACATACTCTTGGGCCTCCTCAGGGATGTGCACCAGCTGAGAGGATCCTGGTCGTGACTGGATAGATACCCTGGCTCCACCAGCTAGGCCACCAGAGTTATTATGATTGGCTAATGGCACAGCACTAGCGGCAAGCTTCATGTACTGTCCGGGAGGTCCACCACGGAGCTCACCATCCAAGCCCACAGCTGAGGGTTCAGAGCTGCAGCGGAGCTCCATGTTTCGCTGGGGAGAAAGTTGTCCAGCCTCATTCTCCATCACCTGCAGAGACATCTTGCGGTTCTCGTTCTTGGTCTTCCATTGTGAGAGCAGCTGCTTGGAACGTGTGGAGTCCATGGAGGCATGGATAGCGGCATGGCGGCGAGGCACTGGTTCTTCAAATCCGGTTGAGTGCACGCGAGGCAGGGTGTTGCTGAACGTCACAAAGCTCTCCTTGCAAAGAGGACTGGGTGGCGTAATGCACTCCACCTCTGTGCTTGACCTCTTCAAGCTGGACATGGAGTTCTCTCTGTAGGACGGGCCACGTAGCAGGATACTTTCAGAGCGTGCCGAGGTGGGACGTTCCCGCATGCTCAGGCTCTTAGGTGGCAATAAGCGTGGTGGATCTGTGTTCAAGTTAGGTAGAGGTCTCAGAGGCTCCCGCATAGAAGGTGGAGGCATCACTGGCTGGGGCTGTGGTGGAGGCTGTGGTGGCTGTGGTTGCCGGAGAGGAGGATGTGCATGTGTCTTCAAAGATGTGTCTTCACTAGGTTTAAAGTTCCCGACTGCATACAGACCCTAAAGTAGTGCAAAAAGGTAGAATGTTTACTGCAATGAATCAATGCCAATAGAGTTTAGATACCATAAAAGCCCCTTTTCCACCAAAGCATTTTGAGAGCCGGTGCCTGCGCGCGAACCAGTTCTTTGTGTTTCGACAGCCAAAGAACCGGTTCGCGGCCGGGAAAACTGGTTCCAAAGCGGCACCAACTCTTTGCTGGACTAGAACCGTTCTTTTAGCACGTCATGTTTACGTCGGGGGCTGGGGCGGGTTTAGATGTGTTCTAAACATATTTTCTGACCATCGCGAAGCCAGGAGAAACTGCAGGAACACGCAAGCGTTTTTATTTTTTTATTTGAAACATAAGCAAAGAAGAAAACAGTCACGATATAGAACAAATAAATGGAAAGAAAAAAAGACACAAGACAGGACATAACTTATCAGAAAAGATTACATATCAAACGAAAAGATTAAAAGACTCATATTTCAATTGTTTTTAAAGTTTTCTTGGTAACGTTACACGAGTTAGAGATAATCCCAAAGCAATGTACTTGCAAGCATTTCTAGCGACGTGCACAGTGACGTAACGACGTCGTCTAGTCAGTGGAAAAACAAACAGGTTCTGAACAGGTTCGCAAGTTGAACCAATTCCGAACCAACTTTGAACCAGCACCAGTTCCGAACCAGTTTTTTTTCGATGGAAAAGGGGTAAAAGATGTTAGACAGGATAGTGATACTGTACTTATTTTTTGGACATGAAATTAAGGCTCTAAGAGATACCTGTACAGTCCATTCAAAATGTTGTATTTCCTGCTGAAAAAACCCTCTAGACATTTAAGGTGGTCTCCGATCTGAAAGCTCAGCAGCTGGCAAAACAACCAGCCTGACCACCTGTTAAGTACCCAAACCCCTTTAGGACCAGAAGATTTTGTTTTTCTATTCCCAACATAGTTGCCCTAAGGTCCAATGTCACCAGTAATTGTTTTGCCAAGACACATTTTCAACATTGATATTACCTGAGTGATTGACAGCCTTTCTGTGTCAGTACGGTTCCCCTACAGACTAAGGTGCATTATGTGTCTATATTAACTTCTGAGAACTTTCCTCATCTACACTCTGAATGTGTGACTTCTCAGTCAAAGTATCAAACAGCATTACATAGCTAATCTCTTGGCCTGATTAATGTACTTTATGTTGAGGAAACAATAAAACCAGGACCTGATGTACTGATTTGTCTCAGCTTCGTTAATTCCTCCTAAAGGTGTATTGGCATTGTTGTCGGTGTTAGAAACCATGGGATGTACATAGCCCCCAGAGCAGATTGAGCAGAGAGTAAGGACAGAGAGTGAGAGAAAACGAAAGAAATGGTGGGAGGAATGTGAGGGGTGTGTGTGGGTGGAGAGCAGAAAAGGAGCCACAAGGGATTTGCATGTGTGAGCTATTTTTACCTCTATTAAAGCAGCATTGTCTTATAGCACCTTGCTAATTCACTATGATTCTTCTCCAGAGTCAGGTCAAATAGAGAATTATGGATCGGCCATAGGATTATGAAATGAATTATCATCCACACATTGCCTTTGTTTCTGCATTGCTGTAAAAGCAGGACTCACCAGGTAGACGGCTATGCTCCCTCCGATAAGAAAGCCACAGTAGACATCCACGGCATGGTTCTTGAACTGAATGATACGAGTAAGGCCGCAGATAATGCCGCAGATGATGAAGGAGAACACCAGGAGTGGCTTCAGGAGCTTGGATGAGTCAGTCAGAGTTGCATTAAAGTACATCTGTGGAAGGAGACCAGCCTTTTGACTGAAGTTTTAGGAAATTCTTAATAGTGGAAAGGACAGTGAGATTATTTGGCAAGCAGTTAGAAATCGCTTGAGTCAACTGTGCCATGAGTCAAGTGGATTACTTACGGAGATGTACACAGCCGCAAAGGCTGCCAGAGTGGCATGCTGAGATGGGAAGGACTTCCTGTAAAGAGAGACAGACCGGCTTGTTAGATCATTAGATCTTTTTCACACTGAGCACATTTGAGGTACTGTATCATGCTAAAGGACAGATGGGAGCGGAAAGTCACAGATGATCACGTCCACAGTGCCACAATTCATATAGTGTGGCAAACAGAATAAGGGCTTTTGATTTCCAAGAATGTTCTCATTAAACCAAGAGTCTGGATATGCATGTTTGCTTGGTATTCTGGAGAGACATTTCACGTCACAGTGTAAGCCTTCGGGGACACTCTCATCACACCCACCCTCTTTTTTTATTTATTTTATTTTTATGTTATAAAAAATGTCTGCAAAACATATAATTGTGGCTATTGAGAGTGTATGAAATGAGAGGAAGATTGAAAGGCAGAGCTGTGCAAATGGATGTGAGTGGGTGTGCAGGAATAGGTAGTCATGTTGTGAGTGAAGCATCAAGACTCACCCCTGTATGGGTTTCATAGAAACTCCATGTGCCAGTGGACAGCACCACATTCATTCTACTCCCTTCACATTTATCTACATGTTTACACCAATGATTTTATATAAATAAATTGATCCATTTAGACCTTTACTGTAAGTAGTGTTGTTGCGCAGCAGGTCCAATTAAATTTGGTAAGCCACAAAATGTTTAATCATCTTTGCTTGGTTATATTGTTAAAGGGTTAGTTCACCCATAAGACCTTCGTTCATCTTCGCAACACAAATTAAGATATTTAAGATATTAAGATCGCTCCTGCATACAGTCCGTAGGCTTCTTGAGGGACTGGCTCTTGCTGTCCCCGAAAAGTCATTAAAGACATCGTTAAAATAGTCCAAGTGACTACAGGGGCTCAATCGTAAGTTTATCAAACAACGAGAACACTTTTGTGCGCAAAAAAACAACAAAAATAACGTGTTTATTTCAACTATTCGTTTATTTCTCCCTCTGCGCGAGTCAGGTTACTAGTTTAATAGCGTAAGCTTCTGTTATTGTACGTCACACGCATCACACACACATGACCAGCGTCGGCCAATAGTGAGCCTACGTGTGACGTAGCTCTACACAATCACACTACGTTAACTGACTACAGGCCCATGGAGAAGGAAGTGAATAGTTGAAATAAAGTCCTTATTTTTGTTGGTTTTTTTGCGCACAAAAGTGTTCTCGTCGTTTGATAAACTAAAGATTCAACCCCTGTAGTCACTTGGACTATTTTAACAATGTCTTTAATGACTTTTCGAGGACAGCAAGAGCCAGTCCCTCAAGAAGCCTACGGACTGTATGCAGGAGCGATCTTAATATCTGAAATATCTTAATTTGTGTTCCGAAGATGAGCGAAGGTCTTACGGGGTTGGAACAACATGAGGGTGAGTAAATACTGACAGAATTTTCATTTTTGGGTGAACTAACCCTTTAATTAAGTTTCTGAGCCAGTTCTCAGCGACATCATTTTTGCATGACAAGTATTTTAAATGCAGTTGCTTGAGGAAAAATCTTGAAATGAGACAAGGATCTTGTCAATTTGAACTCAAGCAGGAGTGAACTAAAAGGGCTTTAAGAATAAGATTATCCTGGTTGGAGGCTAATCTCAGTCATTTGAGATAAAAATAAACTCTTCAAAGACCAGATTAAACCAAAATAATGGACCCTATTTACTTTCTAAACTCATGCTCATAGTCTTATTGTGTCCCTGCCATCATTCTGACCACACAGGCTATTGGATAATGTTAGCCAATAACCAAATAGCTATATACACCCTGTTTTACCAACTCACATTCAGTCTGTTTCAATTTTGATTTAGGACACCTACTTTCCATTACCTAAATGATTCCCGATGGATAAAATTGTGTTTTGCCATTAATTTTTCCCTTGTTAAATTTCCTGTTTCACTTGGAAATGCAAAGAGTGTTGAAAACAACATTTTATGTTGACTTTAAAATCCTAGTTTTTTATTGTAGACCTTTATTGAGGATTATTATGCACTGGGTCGACAAACTACAATACGACACAGATACCGCTCTCTGACCTGCCGGCGTTGATGGCAGCTGGATCAGATCCAGAGCAGATGTCATCCACAATGAAAGAGTTCTCATCACAGGAAGTGTTGAGGCTGGTGTAGTTGGGCTTGCACACAGTAAGGAAATAGGGGGCGTGATATCCTGTAGCCAGCTGGATAATATCTGTGATGAGTGCTGTGACACACAGGCCAAACACATGGACCCCTGCAAATGAGACACACAGGCGCATTTTTCAAATACTACATTTCATAAGCAGCAAGTAGACTTCATAATCTTTTAATAAAATAGACTGAGCTTTCATTATTACAAGCAAACTAAATTTAATACAAGACTATAAAAAAGACAGAATGAGTCAAGATCAAGAGTGTATTATTCCAAATAATATTTATACAAGCTATATAGCTTTTTATAGAGTCACAAATGGCAGAAAAAATATACACCCACCCACAAACCTCACAGCCCGCCGGATGTAAGAGTTGAAATTGCAGCCAGCTGCATTTATGTTAGCCTCTGTTTTGATGCTGATATTTCTTCTGGCCAAGCAGCAGTACAGGATCCCTTCCCCAATCATAATCTGTGGGAAGATGGTCATCTGTGTTTACCCAAACATACAGCACTGTCATGAAACTCCCATCCCTCCTCTATTGGCTTCCAGGGGTCATTTCTAATAGAATCACTGACACATCAACCCCATTACTGTAATTAAAGTAATAACTCTCATCCATCCATCCATTCATTCATAGCCATATGAGGGGGATTTCATCCAAAACTGTAAAAAACTATAAGGGGAAGTCGTTCGGGTATCTTAAGTCGTTCGGGCCTCCGTTAATGCAATGACTAAAATGTTAATTCCATGTAAATGAAAAGCAGAAACCCATAGATTCATATATAAATGCTTCTGCTGTGAATGACAAGATAGAGAGTGAAAGAGATGAACAAGTGATCATACCCCCCTGAGATCACACTTGTCTCACACACCTACAGTCAAGTGCAGCACTCGAGTGTAGCAGGCACTACCATAACAGCTGGAGCTACCAGCAGGACACACATTCACATGCTAGCACAGGCTCAGCGACATCATACCCATATAGTACTGAGGCACAAAACTCAGCTGGGTGATTTAACATTAAGACAGTGTTGTTGAGTGATTAGACATGAAGCAAAAGTCAAAATTATAACTTGCTGAGTTGGAGATTTTAAGGGTGCTCAGACTGATCGGCTAACGACAGAGACCTTTGAAGCTGCAATGAATCTGATATTTGGACCATCAAACTGTTGTAAGTCCACTATATAGAGAAAAATCCTGGATGTTTTCCTCAAAAATCCTGATTGGAGAGCCCATTCTCACTCCCAAGGCGTCACCTAACTGACGCCTTGAGAAGCATTTTGACCATGCTTCAATATCTGACGCTTTAGGCGCCCTTTAGCGTCAGTTAGATGACGCCCTAGGATCGCGTGTACCCTACCCCCACCCCACACCTAAACCTAACCGCGTCCTCTAACTGACGCTTTCCTTTAGCGTCAGTTAGATGACGCCGTAGGATCGCGTCATGTAAGTGACGCTAAAGGGCGCCTAAAACGTCAAATATTGAAGCATGGTCAAAGGTGACGCCTTGGGGTGAGAATGTGTTGGATTGGAACACCCTTATAAATAAGGTTTCATATAGACCTGTAAAGAAGGACTTGCTATTTATGTTTGGGGTAACGGGGGCTGTTTGCGGGGACTAAGTTTCGTTTTGAGTTAGTTGAGAGCAGCCGGGAAGCATATCGTAGATATTTCTGAAATTCATAGCTGTTGTCTGTGTCGCTATCTGTGCATGTGTGCGTTTAGAGACATGCGAGTACCCTGGTAAATGTTTACATGTGTATTTTAGTACCTTAGGTTTTTTATGAGCTGTCTATATTCTGGAAACCTGAGTTGAAATGCAGTGTGTGAGCATAAATTTCGCTAACAGCTAATGCCTTATACTATTAGTTTTACAGTACTATTGTGTTTATATGTGTACTCACCTGACACGGCATTGTTATTATTGGAGTATTTTTGCGTAGTAGAGAAGTTTTGAGAGATGTTTTTTGGGTTGTTGTTACTGAGACCCAGCAGTAAGAAAGTTGTTCTTTTAATCTAATAAGGAGCTAATGTGTGTTACCTGGTATATTATTTGTTTTTTTTGATATAAGCAGATATATTTACTTGAAGGCAAATTATACCAATACCATTTATTAGTTTTTACTAATAGCATCCCTTCAGCACTGTTGTTTACTTGTATGCTGATATTTTCTTTTCTTTATTGTTTATTATAGAATCACACACATTCTGTACATTTACGAAGACAGACAATCCATTGAAGAGCATGAGATCATTCGATTGCATTCTTACTGATGCCCTACAGTGGTCACTTATTCCCAACTAGCTACAGTTATGGTCCTAGCTATCAAGTCTCCATGAGTGGTATTGGTAATCGTTACTGGTAATCGGTTGATCGTTTATCTGTGATCGGTCCCAAAAATTCTGATCAGAGCATCTTTAGGAGATTTGTTCTCATGCTTCATTTTCTCCTTTCATTTACAGTGGCTGACTGAGAATGCATAAGACACAGGATAACCAACAGTGATAGCACTTAAAAGAGCGTAGCCGCCTTGCAAAATTAATTAGGCCAGTATGGTGGAGCACCGAAAACACCCAAGCGACATGCTGGGGAGTTGATGAAACAAATATGTCATTAAACATTAAATTAATCTGCTCTCTGATGAATATAGGTGGAACGAGGCAGTTTTTTAAGATGATGTTGATGAGACCAACAGTGGAATAACAAACTTTGAAAAAGCCATTGTGAAAACATAAGCGGCTGGGACAATGCCATAAAGATATCTTTATGGCTTGGATCTATTAATAAAAAAACAACAACATTAAAATTCAATTCACATATTTCAATTCATCATGAAATGATATTTATTAATTAATTAATAATTAGTGTAGCTCTCAATAGAAGAACAGAAATCTCTCAGATTTTATTCAATTGTGTTCCTAGAATGACTAAAAATCTTACGGGTTTGGAAGGACATAAGGGTGAGTAATTAATAACAGAATTTTCTTTTTTTTTTTGGGTGAACTGACCCTTTAACTCCATAAACTTGATAACTTTATGAGCCAAACCGAAACATCAAGTATGATTTCAAAAGACTATAACCGTTGTCACAAACTGTAACAGGTGAGCTATCAGGTAATGTGATGGTAATGAGATAGCATTTGTGAGTCAAATTAACACATTTATGTCAACCTTCAGCATATTTGTAATATTTATATATAATAATATAAATTTATAATATATAATATTTTTTGCATTGTAAACACTTAGCTTATGGCAAAATTCTGCACAATATTCACATTCACAAGCTGAAATTCAGGCCCTGCAAAGATTGATACTTGGTGTCTGTATATCAATAAAATATTCCCATGCAAAACATTGTGATACTAAGCATGATTTATAAATCTTTTCTGTCACTATTGATAAATTGAAGGCACACTTGGTGGAAAAAAAATCGTACTGGCCCAAAACTTTTAAATGGCACTATGACTCTCAAAAGCTACCCTTTCCAAACAAACTTTTGAAAGTTTGAAAGAAAAATGTGATAATTAGCTATTGGAGACATTTTTATCGAGTTGCCTTTGCATTGACACTCTTGTAAACCTCTACATGTACAGATTGTGATAAGCAATTTAGGACAATCTATTAGACCCATGAGTTCGTCACCCAGGGTCTTGATAATACACTCACAACATGCCAGAGGCTTAGAGCCTTGTCGCCCAGCTAATGATTGAAATGCATGCTGGGTAGGCGCCGGCAGTAGTCAAAATTCAATGACAGTTTGGGGAAAAGACAAAAAGCAAAAAGAGACAGGCAAAGCACATTTAGAAAGAGAGAGAGAGAGAGAGAGAGAGAGAGAGAGAGAGAGAGAGAGAGAGAGAGAGAGAGAGAGATTAATATATGCTAACAACACAAGGTGAAAGCCGAGAAATTTATACTTAAAGGTAGGGTAGGCAATGTTTTTCATAAACACTTTTTGTTATACTGGCTGAGACTCTCTTCACATCCTTATAATCAAAAATAGAAGTGGACTAAATATTTTAAAAAAATGACATATATTCTGTGGAAGTCTCAGGTCTCAAATGAAGTCTCAAATGCAGTGTTGTAGTACTCAAGACTCGTACTCGTCTCGGACTCGGTCTCGAGACCATATTTTAATGGTCTTGGTCTTGTCATGGACTCGTGTCCAGTTGGACTCGGAATTGACTCGTACTCGAACATTTTTTTTTTAGGACTCTGAATTATTCCCGAGTCCACTCGAGTTCAATTAAAAATATTTTTCATGATTATTAATGTATGTTAATAAAATATTTCTTTAAATTGATTGACACGCCCAGTGATTGGTGATTTTCTAGTGCGCAACTGCGCATGACAAATTGTAATACAATTACTTTTAACACCACCTACTATGTGGCCTTTTTACCCTAAACTGATCATATTTTTTAAACTCTAAGTAAATTCAGTAAAAAAAAAAAAAATTTCTCTAAGTAAATAAAAGTAAATTAGGTAATCAACCCTCACTGGTCTCGGTCTCGACTCGGACTCGACCGTCTCTGGTCTCGGACTCGACTCTCTATGGACTCGGTCTTGACTCGGACTCGACTCTCTCTGGTCTCGGTGTCGACTCGGACTCGAGTGAGGTGGTCTCGACTACAACACTGCTCAATTGTTCATCCAGTCATTGCATTCGGTCCTGCTTGTCAACATATGTGCACCCTTGCTCGCACAGACATCAGACGTCATCAGTGTTATCCGTAAGGCTATGCAGAATTGTAGACAGACAGTCACACCATATCATAACTGTAATTACAAGATGGCAACCCCTGACGTTCTACCTGGAGCTGTCTATGGCAACACTATCAATGGCAAAATGAATTCTCTATTAGCTTTTAAGGCATCTTAGTCAAAAATATTGATGACTCATCCTACACAACACACATTTTGTCCAATCAGATGCTCTCTAGAATGAGAAAGCCCTTTCCCCTAATGCCGGGTACACACTTAACGACTAGCCGAAACATTCTAAGACATAACTGAACACACTTACAGACTGTTTCCAATGACTAGAGCAGATATAAAACACAGACTGAAAACAACTGACTCTGACGTTTCAGTGTATCAAATTACATTCATAATCGGCCTTATAGTCGTTTCCCCGGCTTTATTTCACCAGCAAAAGATGAGGAATCTGCAAATCGTTCATGGCTAATATGAGACTAAAGCCATCAAGCAATTTCATAGGGCTTTTGACATGAAAAACAAAGCTAGCAACAATTTACAACCAAATACAACTAAAACTCATCTGCCATAATCAACTTCAGGTGACTACATAGACATTGTCATATTGTCATATGTCACATTATGAGTCATTCCATCAAAAACAGACAACTAAGTATTCACTTTAATATTCATCCTTGCTCATTGAAACTGAGATCAAACACCAAGCCTGCATGAATAATTAATAGTGCCCCTCTGAACTAAATAAGAGCAAGAGTGGCACTATGGCATTTACCGTTGCTGCCGGCCCGGCGAAAGCCAGACTGAAGAGCATGAGGAAAGGGATGACCTCCTTTGTGGGCTCAATGTAAGGCATGCTGAGACTCCGGTCATTGCAGCTGTAGCCTGAACGCACTGGCTTAAAAATGTCTGTCAACTCCAAGAAGTACAAGCTGACCACTGAGGACACGAGAATCGGGAGCTGTAGAGATAAAACAGAAGGAATATGAGAAATATGCAAGACGAGAAATGAACAACAATGAAATTATGCTAAATTTATCAAATGGTGTCCCATAGAGTCATCCAGGCTTGAAAACCGTTGCAAACGTGATAGAAAGTCATTATTCCATTGAAAATGTAATCAGCACAATTATATGAAGGCACTGCGTCTGATCATGTGACTTTTGAACTGTACTTTGCCACGGTTTCATGCTTAGGATTTCAGTGATAAGAGATTTCTCCTTTTAATTCGCAATAAAAGTTCTCATTCATCGAAAACACTGTTGGTGTTGAAGTAGGAAATGCATTGGGAGATCCTCGCTTCCAAAAACCTGGCTGTGTAGATCACCGTTGCGTTGGTAAACGAGCTTCATACTCTGATACATGTAATGAGGGCTTGGATGAAACTATGCTGGAGTTATATCCCTTAAGGCTTTTTACACTCGATACCGGGTTCATGCTAAGGTTAAACAGAAGATGTGTGATTACGGCAGAATGAAGGTTATTCTCAGGTGAATATGCTTGTAACATCTTTAGATATCGTAGAATTACTGTTGTCATTGACACGGTTCACCCAGCAGTATCTCAGATGATCAACAAGGTTATACAATAGACTAGTGCAGACACAACCAATCACATATGAGACTGGACAAAGAACAACAGACAAGCAGGAACTTAAGTACACAGATAATGACCAGACAGCTGTGATAATGATGATCACAGGGAGGTGTGGACAGTGAGTGCAGGTGTGAGCCAGAGAGGATGATGGGACATGTAGTGTCAACGCATTCTCATCCCAAGGCGTCATATACGATCCCTTTAGCGTCAAATGAGACGCTTCGGTTATGGTAGGTTTAGGTATGGGGTAGGGTTAGGGTTAGACCACTAGGAGGCGCCTTCTGCCCCATATATATCTGCGTCTCATTTGACGCTAAAGGGTGCCATGTGCGTCGGATGTCTACGCTTTGGCAAAATGGTCGTATATGACGCCTCAGGCTCGTAGTGTTGGTAGTGATGCACAGAACTGGGACACCACGTACTGAATAATTACGAAACTTGAACGGACAGCGTGAAGATCAAATGTGGGGGTAGGGGGTTTAATTACTGTAATCAAACCCCTTCTAAAAAGGAGAGAGCATCTGCAGGAAAAGCCCCTGTGGTCTAAACTCCAATTGATGCTACATTTTACAGCACAGATACTAACAACCTGTGATACTGTACTTGATTGATTAGCAGTTACACTTACCAATCATAACCATGACTAATTATGTACTTTGACTGTACAGATGCTAAGTGACTAAAAGTGTTTTAAACTTAAAACATTTTGTAGGTAATATTTTTAAAACTCAACTTATAATGCACATACACCAGAACGAAACTTTGTTGTAATTAATCAAAACTTGTCATGTGTTATGATAATAATGTAACAACTGAAATTGATTTTTTAAAACAATTTACTTTTTAAACAACAATTGTTGCTGCTTGCAACAAATATAAAAAAGGCAAGAGTGCACATGCATGTCTAATATTAGCTGATTTTATTATCGTCTAGAAATAATCTGCTTATCGGTATCGACCATTAATGTTGTTATCAGCACATCTGTGTCAAAAACCCCAATTAAATTACAGTATATTAATGTTGTATACAAAACACAGCGTTTTATTCCAAACATCATTAACTGGGTTAAACATATTATGGTTGAGCAAATAAACAAAAAACAATTTGGTATTTACATCATAAGTAATTGTGGAAACTTTTCGTAATAATGCGGGCATGTACCGAAGAAGGCTGACATGGTAAATTACAACCTAAAGTGAGATCTGTCAGCACGTTGTGTACATTAAATATGTTTTCAAGTTTTCAGGAACTATCAAAAGAATCTCTCTCTCTCTCTTAAAGTTAAAAGTAAAAGTAAAAGAAGTTAAAGTTCATGGCCATATTGTAATTTATTTAGTAAACTGAAACAGTGAAACAGGGAAGTTAATTAGCCAAAATTAGTGAAGTGAAGCAGATTAAATGACTCTTTTTAATTCATTTTCCGCTTAGGACAGAAACAAGGTCTTTGCATGCAGCAAGAAAACTCTATATAAGGCAACCAGGTCACACCTGGTGACATTAATGTCAGTGCAGCCAGTGAGCTTTGATTCTGTCTGATCTGACAAAACAGTGACTATTCCAAGTTAACTGTTTACAGAAGCTTTTTTACATTTGGTTGACATTGGATCTGGAGCATGTCATATACTCATTCTCACTGCCAAATTGATAAAGATAATGTGTGTGTATATATATATATATATATATATATATATATATATATATATATATATATATATCAATAGATATATTGTTATAGATTTATCAACAACATGAGTAAAGCATTATGTCAGTCTTTTATAAGTTTTTATAATCAGGAACTCACACATTTTGTCTACACTGTAAAAATGAATATGCTTTATCTAATCAATAAAATTGTGGCAACAGATTACAAGCAATATTATTTATTAAAGTGAACAAATTAGAATTGAATAATAGTTAATCAAATTAATATTCTAATTAATTCTAATTTGTACAATTTAATTAATAATATTGCTTGTAATATGTTGCCACAATTTTATTGATTAGATAGAGCATATTCATTTTTTTCAGTGTATGGGGAAAAAGGTTTTTACTTTTAAAGCAGAATAGAAAGACAGCATCAGTCGTTCATGATCATTTAATACATTGAACAGAATGTTAAATATTCTTCAATGTTAAAAAAAATAGGGAATTCAGTACTGCAGCTTGACAAGTAAACAAGACAGATCAAAGACTGCCAGCATTATCTCCATGACACCAGGCATCAGCACTCAATTGTTTGTGATAGCCTATCTAGGCCACGTCAGATTGGCCTTCATTTAACAACTGCCTATTTTCTAACATCATTTATGCTCAATGGTGCCCTCTTAATTCAGTAACAGACAACATTTTTTTTTTTTTCAGTAACAGACAACATTGTTTTTACCGAGACTTAGGCTATTTTCAGAAGGTTTACGGTTCTGTTTTATAAGCAATAGCCTATTGATGATTCCCTTCACCTTGACTTTGAAGTAATACTTTACTAAGGACATGTTGCCTATGCCAATGAATGCACCTTACAATTAGGAAAAGAGTGTTTTTGAATGGCTGACATCAAGAAGCAAGCCAAACTTGACGCGCAAAAGCCAGCAAACAATTGTTCTATGTATTTCCCCCCACATAGCCTATCCCCTTCACATTAACATGACATACAACAAGTGCAATGTATTTTGTCCTTCTCTTGACCATAACTGCATATGCCTATGTAAAGTTAACGAGCAGTCATGGAGAATGAACAGATTTCGAACGTGACCATCGCGTGAAGGAAGACCATCATACCCCTAACTCTCGTCTATTAATCAGACATTAGACATAACGCATAAGAAACATCTCTGTCAATGTGTCGGCTGCTAGACTCACTTACCTCCACGAAATAAAAGCACGGCAGCAAGGTAACGCTGTCTTTGGTCATTCTGCCTTTGAGTCTTTCCTTCGCAGACATGATAAACGGTATACGTCCCTTTATAACGCGGTGCGTGAAGAGATGAATAGTGAATTTGTCCCCTTGTGCAGTAAATGCGCTCTTTCAGGCTGTCGCTTTTTCCATCCTCAAGTGCGCCTTTATTGCGGATGCAGACGCACGGAAAGATGCTGTCTCAAACCTGGCAACATCATGCCTGAAACCATGACAACACAATCACCATCCCCTGAGGACGCGCCGATGGAGATCTTAACAGTGTCCAACAGCGATTAATGTTTCAAACCAACACTCAAACCTTCTGATTAGAATAGAGGCAATATGCTGACCAGATGACGTCAGAGGTGTGCTAAAAACCCATTTTCACCAGAAGCGCGCGCACGTGTGCGAGATGGGGGCGTTCACACTATCATGATCGTCAAATGGCACAAATACGTCTTAGAGAGGATGTAAGCTGATTATATAGGCTATGCAACTCTGTAATGATTTTCCCAGCCATAAATACACTGGAACCATGAGGTATAATACCACATGTCAACCGCTGTTCTATAGCCTATTACAAATGCAGTTTTTGGTAGGCTTTTGGATTCTTAAGTAGCTGTAAATATTGCATTCAGCATGAAACAATCCCTTAACGAATATTGCAGTGCGCCAAAGACTTTATTACACATACAATAAACATCTCAGACCCCTCATACAAATGTCCTGTCAATGTGCATAAAATGAAAATAAGAGGCTACATTATTTGATAATCTGTTTGGAGTTCTACATAACTAGCCAACAATTAACATTTTTTTTATTTAGTATATAACCCAGGGTTTTCTTAAATGTTCTCCTAAACTCATTCAGAGAGAAATGAGAAACAGCACAACTCCAACAAGAATCTACTTTTCTTTGAATTTTGTTTCAGTGGTCAAACACGCCATCTAGTGGATATTTCATGGTGACAAGATGGATGAGTGGCGATTGCAAGCATTTAAATGGTGCAATGTGTAAAAAAGTTGAGTATCTATTAACAGAAATGCAATATGACATCCATCTATGTTTTCAGTGGTGTATAAAGAACTTACTTAATAAACCGTAATGTTTTATTACCTTAGAATGAGACATTTATATCTCCATAACCACGGGAATCCCATTCTATGAAGGTCGCCATATTGTGACGTCATATTTCTGCCGTAGCCGAACGCGAACAAACAGCACTACAGAACGCGTTTCATCACTACCTTGAAAGAGATGCAGCAGAAAGCTGGAAGCTAGCCATAAACTTCGTGAGTAGTGACTTTTCCCTTGTGAGTGGTGTAAAATATGTAGTTGGGATTGTTTCGTGTAACTTAGTTCTCCCTCGCTGGTTTATTATGTGGGGATTAATGTGCTGGTTACGTTCGTCAGACAGCTGATTAGTAGCCTACTCATGTCATTGACCTAAAACAGTATGTTACAGGAATCACAAACCCGTCGATCGAGAAGAGTTTTCAAAATCAGAGAAAAAGCCTATTGTGTGTAGTAAATGGGTGTCTATGGGATGCGGAGGTGCGCGCGCTGTTATAATCATGCCATTTTTGCCACGCGCACCTTTGGACTCATGCGGATTCGTCGAGTGTAAACAAGGCTTTACGCTTTAACCAGTTCAGTAGCTACTGTCCACAGTAATACCCAGCCAAACTTTTAGTAGCCTTTTAGAAAAAATATAGAACTGCATAGTTTCATGTTGTTCTTCTCCATCACGGTATTATGGGTTTGCTACATGGGGAGAAATTTGCTGCTGGTTACGTTTGTGAGACAATCAGCTGTTTGCTATTATTATGTTAAATTATATATTAAAACCCTTGATCCTCACCTGACTATAACTTTGTAAACTTTATCCATGATGTGGTTTATAATGGACTGTTGTACAGAAACAATTACAAAGTTACACACTCATGCTGTCTCAGGGCCGCCCCGTTTTAACAACCGTAACTTCTTCGATTGGGAGGGGTGAGCAGTGGGCTGAGCCCTTAGTGCAAACTCGCAACCGAACCGCTAGATGTCGCTAAAATCCCACACTGCATCTTAAAAATGTAGCCCACATCCAACTGTATTGGTCATGGTACTAATTTATAGTCTGCATGTTAAACTGTTCACAAACTCTACATTATAGGCTAAATTTACTTGTTGTCTACCCTATACCCCAAGCCCAGTTTTAAGGGTGTTATGTTTCTATACATTCATCTTAACATATGTCACTGGAAAAGTTGCATATACATGGAAATAAGTGTTAACTGACTCGACTAAATTTGAATGATTAGTATGAAACAAACAAGACAAAAGGAAAAACAAACAAATTCGCAATGAAGCTTCTGCATAGGCTAAACAAACTCTAAGCATCCAGAACCCACAAAAAGCTCTGGCATTATTTTAAGAAATAAGAGCCAGCTGCGAAATCAAAAACGTACAGCGTAACCATGCTCATTTATACAGAGGCGTATTGCATTCACTTGAAGAAAAAAAATCTACTCTGTTTTTCTGAATTAACGAGTTAATTTTTCATGAGAAAAAAAAATTTGCTCTGTTTTTCTGAATTAATGAGTTAATTTTTCATGAGAAAAAAAAATTTTGCTCTGTTTTTCTGAATTAACGAGTTAATTTTTCATGAGAAAAAAATGTTGCTCTGTTTTCCTGAATTAATGAGTTAATTTTTAATGGATTTTTTTTGCTCTTTTTTTCTGAATTAATGAGTTAATTCAGAAAAACAGCAAAAATAAATGTTCTCATGAAAAATTAACTCATTAATTCAGAAAAACAGAGCAAAAACTTTTTTTTCTCAAGAAAAACTAACTCATTAATTCAGAAAAACAGAGAAAATTTTTTTCTCATGAAAAATTAACTCATTAATTCAGAAAAACAGAGCAACATTTTTTTTCTCATGAAAAATTAACTCATTAATTCAGAAAAACAGAGCAAAAACTTTTTTTCTAATGAAAAATTAACTCATTAATTCAGAAAAACAGAGCAAAATTTTTTTTCTCATGAAAAATTAACTCATTAATTCAGAAAAACAGAGCAAAAAAATTTTTTCTCATGAAAAATTAACTCATTAATTCAGAAAAACAGAGCAAATTTTTTTCTCATGAAAAATTAACTCGTTAATTCAGAAAAACAGAGTAGATTTTTTTTCTTCAAGTGAATGTAATATTATTTTTTAAATGTTATCTGCTTTTAAAATGCGAAACTGCTGAATCTTTTTCAAATTCTACAGACATTCACAAGAGGGCAGCAGCTCACAGTTCCTCAAGTCTTCATCGAAGCCTTTCGTACATCATCAACAGTATGCAAATTAAATATCCCGAAGAAAGACATTTAATTTGTTAAAAAAAAAAAAATCATATATTTTCAGCCATTATTTCTGTTTAGAGACAACTCTTCGTATTTGGCCATGTTGTTAATGAAGAGCAACTTGCTTCACAAGTCCTTATGCGCAGAAAAGTGAGACTCCAGGAGTGAAATATATGGAGGAGTCAAATAATGTACGAAACAGCACAAAAGATTCGATAATCAATAATACCTTAAGACAGTTCAAGTGCATTTTTTTGTGTGCAGGCATCCCATCACAGAGGAAACAGAGGAACGCCCACAGCGCGTGCTGCTGTCCAGCGTGCGCGAGCTCTAACCCAATTCATTTTCATAGACTGCAACGCAACGCACTTTTAAAGCGCTCTGTCACAGACACAATGCGCTATTATTTCTGGATATTTCGGATTTATTTGGAGGAATTATAATGGAATTAGAGGAAATCATGCCAGTGCTATCGTAGGACTAGGAGACGAAGTCGAAGACGCTTCACTTATTTTCCAGGATCTGTTTGACCCTTATCGACAATGCTTTACTTTCAGTTGGTAATCATGGCTGGTACTGTCATGCTGGCATACTACTTTGAGTACACCGATACTTTCAGCGTGCACATCCAGGGATTTTTCTGTCATGATAAAGCCTATACGAAGCCCTATCTCGGACCGGAGGAGTCCGGCGCGATCCCACCAGCTGTCCTGTACGCAGTGGTCGCAGGTGTCCCTGCACTCGTGGTGAGTGTATGTTGAAGGATATATTAGTTTAGAAAGAGCAGTAGGCCTAAATAGTTTTTGGCATGGTTTGTATGTATATATAATAGCGTAATGTCAATCAGTTTGTGAATTGTATAGCCTAAATAGTTGAAATGTCCTGTTGGATTGGGTCTCATATATTGAGCCAGCCTGCCTGCAAACAAGATAACATAATGTAAAGAAATAATTATACTCTTAGAAAAATGTGGCATATTAAGTAAACAAATATTTATGAAATGATCAGTGTACGTTCTGAACTGCTTAAAACATAAATTATACATTTTAAATTGTGCATATTTTTTTTTAAAATTGCAATTTTAAAATTGCATATTTTATAATTGGAAATTACAGTGTATTTTTGCACATTTCATGGTGGGTCAGTGTATACAATTTGGGGTCAGTAAAAGAAAATAAATGAATCCTTTCATCATCAAGGATGCATTAAGTTAATAATGTAATAATGTCAACTAAGACGTGTTGCTATAATGTTACAATATATATTTCAAATAAATACTGTTATATTAATCAAAGAACCCTGAAAATAAAATAAAATATCAGATATATTTCCACAAAAATATTAAGCTGCAGGCTACAACCGTTTTCAACTACGATAATAAGAAGACATTTTTTCTTATGCATCAAATCAGCATATTTGAAGGATTTCTGAAGGATCATGTGACACTGAAGACTGGACTTATGGCTGCAAAAAAAAAAAAAAATCTACATTGCCATCAGGAGTCAATGAATAAATGAGAATAAATTACAGAATAAATGACATTTTTAAAAAATATATATTTAAAAAGAAAACTTGTTAAAAAGTTTACAGTTAAAGAAAACAGTTAAAAAAAGCTGACACTTAGTAAATGGTCATTTAAATTAACATAGCGTAGTTCAGAGAAGTTTTTTTTTTTTTAAGAATGAGAAATGCAAGTTGAATGAGATTAGTAAATTGAAAAGCTTGCATCTGATTCTGCACTGTTGCCATTGCTTAATATTTGCTATTGGCCACACTGAATGTTGGAATCTTCTCGTCTTTGAGAGTCATTTTTTTGGCTCTAGACTCTAGCTGCCTACACTATATTAAAAGAGAATTTATGATGAGCAAGATATTGGCAGCTCCGAGGATCAATTAAAGAGCACCAGGATCACTACTGAGCCTCCCTGCTCTCATCTCTCATAAGAATTCCAAATGATTTGTAGTCCAATCGATCTGAAAACACTCTGCATGGCCTTATATTAAGGCTACACAAATTCAGCCCCAAATGACTATTATTATAACCCATTTGCTGAAAGCATCACTTTTGAGTCAAGTTGTGGAGTGAAAACTTCGATCTGGCCTCAACAAGCGTGTTCTGCGGTGGATAGTAAAGGTCAGCTATCAGCCCGGTGGGTTCTAAAAGGGCAAGGCTTATACAGTGAAGTCCCAAATATTGCTGGCATGCTTAACTGGTGGCCATATCTGACAAGACAACTGATAAGTTTACAGTGTCTCAGACTTTTATGCAGAAGTACTTATCCTCATGTTGTTTCAAAGTGTGACTTTCTTTCTTCTGTGTAACACAAATGACAGTTTCTGTTGAAGAAACTGTAAGTTATTTAGCCATGAAATTATAATAAATGCTGATTGGAGCTTTTAAGTTTCTAACACAAAATCACTATGTATCATAAAAAAGTGAATGACTCAAAAGGAAAATGAAAAATAACAATAAACAAGATAAGCAGTTTAAATTATGACATATTTCACATAAGTCATAATTATAAGTTGTGATTTTCATATAAAAATTTGAATTTATGCTTTTATTGCTTTTATGCCTTTTATCCATCATTTTGTTTTTGTCATAACTATGACTTTTGACTCGACTTTTTTGTTATAATAAATATACTACTTTCTCAAAATGTCAAAACTTGGCTCATAATTTTGAGTTTTATGTCATAATTACGATTATCTTTATTTTATGTGTTGGATATGGAATTTTCTAGTTTTTTTTTGTTTATCAACATAAAGCTGTTGATAAACTAAGCTATATCTGTATAGCTTATTTTTATGATACATTTACGTATGGTGCGTTTGTGTCCTTCTGAAGCTTGAAAGCTCAAAGTTAATGTAATTTCATGGGAAAAAATCACAAGTATATTCTTCAAAATGTCTTTTGTGTTTAATAAAAGGAAACATATGAATTGGGAATGACATGATGATTAATTCATGACATGATTTTTAATTTGGCCTAACTCTCTGAAGCACTTAACAAACATACAGTTGCTTGCTATGGCACTTGTGATACAGCGTGTGTGTATATATACCGACCGGTGGTGTCTCAAGCATCAAAACTGTACAAAAGTAAAAGCATTCAACCCTTATAATAGCTGTTAAAACCTTCTGTCTGGCAGGTTTTTGCCATTTAAAACCGTCAAGGCACATAGGTAAAAGCACTCTGAAAATTGATGGGGCCTTTATGTAGTGCTCTGAAACCAAACAACCAAACATCTCTTGTATGATAAAAAGGAGATTGTCTTCTTGACCCTAGGCCATGTGTTGCTGGAGGCAGAAGGCAGATTCATAGAATTCTTCCTTTGGGCTGTATCTCACATTCTTTTCATATTAAATATGAAAACAAATAAAAAATAAATTAAAGAATTTTTCAATGGTCCATATGACAGTAAGGGGTACTGTCTCACTCATCAGGCTTTTGCTGTGTGACATATATGGGCCAGGATGAGTTGATGTCTATTCAGAATGAAAAGTGAGTCATCCATGTTCCATATTCACAGTCCCGAATTGAATTTTGTTAAGAAATATGAATTCCTTTTGTAGAATTATTATTATAATTAATTATTATGAAAATTAAATCTCAGAATTTGCCATTTTATGGATTATTTTCTGTTGAAGATCTAAAGGAATATGTCATAAAAGTAAAGTACACATTTGTCATTCAGTAATATCATTCTGCAGAAACAATGTCATTCTGAAAGAATCAATCACCACACATAATTTATCTGATGCTTCTAAATTTGAATAATAAATACAATAAATAATAAATTCAAATGAATACTAAGCTTATTGTACATACCTCAGATGTAATCAATAAATATAAGAGTTTCATACTGCTGTACTAACAAGTGTTGTCAAAGTGATATATCCTCAGACTCTTGGCATAAAGTGCCCACTTCAAAAGCTTGATCGGCCGTGTTAATATTGAGCTACTGCTATTGTAACCTGGAGTGTACACATTAAACAACAAAATCATGTATTTGAGTTACAACAACAACAAAAAAAACCATTCTGTTGTTTTTTTGATAAGTCGCTGGAAAAAGGGCTCGACAAACATGGGTTAATGAAAAACTTCCTTGTTTATGGAACTGGTCTTACTGGTAACACTTTAGAATACGGTTCCTTCGTTAATGAATAACTACACAAGAACTAATGAGTAACACAATATTAACAATCGAGTAACTATTATTAACTAACAAGAAACTCTGATTAATGAACTAGTAAGTAATAGCGCACAGACGAAAGTGGTAGTACACTATTAAGTAATCAATAACTACTATTTTTTTAATACTTCCCAGAGAACTACTGAAAAAGTTTATTAACAATCTAGTAACTACTATTAACTAAAATAAATTCTTATTAACGAATTAGTAAGTAATAGCTCACAGATGAAAGTGTTACTAGATACTTCTGTGGGAGTTACTAATTATTTGGATTCGTATTATAAAGTGAAGATCATTGGAACTAACTAGTAATTACTCAAGTGTTACTAAAGACATTTTCTAAAAGTATACTGAAGTTCACCAAATCTCAAACGGTTGCACAAATCATGACTAGATCATGTAGTAACACTTGAGTAATTACTAGTTAGTTCCAATAATCTTCACTTTATAATACGGATCCAAATAATTAGTAATTCCCACAGAAGTATCTAGTAACACTTTCATCTGTGAGCTATTACTTACTAATTATTTGGATCCGTATTATAAAGTGAAGATCATTGGAACTAACTAGTAATTACTCAAGTGTTACTACATGATCTAGTCATGATTTGTGCAAACGTTTGAGATTTTTGGTGAACTTTAGTATACTTTTAGAAAATGTCTTTAGTAACACTTGAGTAATTACTAGTTAGTTCCAATGATCTTCACTTTATAATACGAATCCAAATAATTAGTAACTCCCACAGAAGTATCTAGTAACACTTTCATCTGTGCGCTATTACTTACTAATTCGTTAATAAGAATTTATTTTAGTTAATAGTAGTTACTAGATTGTTAATAAACTTTTTCAGTAGTTCTCTGGGAAGTATTAAAAAAATAGTAGTCATTGATTACTTAATAGTGAACTACCACTTTCGTCTGTGCGCTATTACTTACTAGTTCGTTAATCAGAGTTTCTTGTTAGTTAATAATAGTTACTAGATTGTTAATATTGTGTTACTCATTAGTTCTTGTGTAGTTATTCATTAACGAAGGAACCGTATTCTAAAGTGTTACCGTCTTACTCAGATTCGAAATTGGGTCTCCGGCATGGGAGGTGGGTGCACTAATAAGGACGCTAAAGACTGCAGCCTCTAGCGTTAATCACTAGCGTTCGTCTTTAGACCATGGGAGTGAGGTTTACTTTACACACAGCTTTTCAACTACGTGAACTATCTTGAGGCACACAGAGAAGGAAATGAATAGTTGAATAAAGTCTTTAATTTTGAATTATTTAAGATTCAGCCACTGTAGTCACTTGGACTATTTTAACAATGTCTTTAAATAACTTTTCTGGGCCGGCAAGTTTCAAGTTTCGCTGACGATGAGCCGAGTGAACATGCAAATTCATTCCCTGATATTAGATGGTGCTTAATGTATAACAGAAATAGTCCTATTTTGTTGTCGCTGTCGCCTTTGTCATATAGTTCTTTATGTTCCGACACCAACGAGAGTCGAGACCAGCAGCTCTACATTCATCTTGCCTTGCATCTTCCTCGTCTTATTTCTTCCCGGCAGTGTAGACGCTACTTGGTATATATCTTCTTCGCCATTATGTATGTGTGCTTGGCGGGACCATTTTGTGTCCTAGTTGTTTTACTGCAACTTCAGAAGCTCCAGACACATGAGCAAATGCTCATTGGTCGAATAGTTTTTGACGAGAAACGTCAAACCAAAAAAAAAAGAACCAGAGACGTTTTAAAAAAAATTATGTTTTTATGCGTGCCGTTTTTCGCGTCTGTGTGCACACTTACATTGGTGTCCTTTGTTTAGTCACAAAGCGTTAAACGTCGGCGAATATCACACACGAAATTCGTCCCGGTGTGAACAGGCCTTTAGAAACCTATGGAGGAGTGAACCAGCTCTCAGATTTAATTAAAAATATCTTAATTTGTGTTGCAAAGATGAACGAAAGTCTTACCGGGTCGGAACAACATGAGGGTGAGTAATTACTGACAGATTTTTTATTCTGGGGTGAGCTATCCCTTTAATTCCTTATATGACAGGCATTGTAACCTTTTCATAAATCAACGCAAGTTGTCACAAAACCCCCATTCTTATTCTTTCAAACCTATCCAACACTAATTGCGAGTGGGTTTTTTTATAGTTCCTTTGCCCTGGGTGCTCCCTGCCAGTTTGGCAAAATCAGGTTCAAGACCTTGCTGGGAACAGGCACCTGGCCAGCAGAAAATCAGACCTCTAATCATTTCCATTGTGTTCATGAATTGGTCTTTATTCTTCTTCCAGTGTTACAAATAGCCCAAATACAGCCTGTTTTCTTGATTTTGCCTTCTAGCTGAGAATTAGATTTTTGCTTAATTTACATCTAAGATCTAAGTAAAGATCAAGGAAAAAAGAGAAGAGAGAGGGAGTTTCTACAAACATTAAAAGTGCCTTGTTTGGTTTTGTCTGCAGATTACAGTGACAGAGTCCGTGCTCTTCTTGCTGCAGTATGTCTCTGAGGATCTAGACAACCGAGAGAAGATCATTGTGATGGGCGACTGTTGTTACCTCAACCCTCTGGTCCGAAGGACATTTCGCTTTCTTGGTATGTCTTCACAGGCTGGAGCGTCACTAATTAGGACAAATGTAGATTTAGACTTTTTCTTATCTTTGTGCATTCGCGCCTGCAGCAAAAGAAAAGGCAAATCGAGATGTCAGGCACACAAACAGTACTTGCAAGTTTTTTTTTGTGTGGGGTAGACGCTCCTGGTTCATGTCAAAGCATTCTCTTAAATTATTTATAATATTTCTTGTGCAGAGAGGAGTGAAGGGGAAAACTATGGGATGTTACTTGGCCTGAAATCACACCAGACTACATATTAGATCCCATAACTCCAGCAAACACTAAAAGGGAAGAAAACTCTCCCCCATATATTTAATTTAGTGACTCTATTATATAATCTTACAAAATGAAGCAAAATGATTTTACATTTACGTCCCCACTTAAATGTTTGGTCCCCCCTAAATATTGTAAAGAAATGTACTAAACAGTGGCATTTCAGCTCAAAAACCTTGATCTTGTAAAAAAGATAATTTTTTAGTTATTTATAGATCTTTGAGTTTTGAGTTCGTCGCAGTTGCTCAGCTCGCGTTGCGTGCGCTCTCTTCAGTCTGCGGAGGTGTAACTGAAAAAGTAAGCTGAGTTGGGACTCCATACTTGGGGTGTGTGGAGACCACTAGGAGACCCCCCTGTGCCCAGAGTATGGGCCCCAACTCGACTCTGTTCCAGAGATATAACAGCTTGAATTTTGATATTTGACCAGGTGTAACTGAAAAAGAAAGCCGTGTTGGGACTCCATACTCGGGGTGTGTGGGGACCACTAGGGGACCCCCCTGTGCCCAGAGTATGGGCCCCAACTCGACTCTGTTCCAGAGATATAACAGCTTGAATTTTGATATTTGACCAGGTGTAACTGAAAAAGAAAGCAGAGTTGGGACTCCATACTAGGGGTGTATGGGGATCACCCATGTGCCCAGAGGATGGGGCCCCAATTCGGATTGGTTCCAGAGATAGGCCAGCTTGAAATTGGTCAGTTGCTCTATGGCGCCAACTAGAATAGTGTCTGAATAACCCCTACCAATTGAGTAGCGATCCGTGAATTCGGGGGTATTAGTAAAAGGCCCACTCTCCAACAAGTGTATGGGAGAGTGGGCATCCCAATTCACCCTATGATCCTTTCGGGGCATTATGCGTCCATTGGCAGCTTATTAGAATGGGGTTTTGTCCTACGAACCACCGTTTTGGACTACCTCCCCACTGTCTTCGTTAAAGTAGGTTCAGTGGCTATGGTTCCGTATTGCATACCACCTACCGCAAAACACAATGTCTGCCCAAACATCAACCCTCATCCACGCAATATACACAGGAACGTAATAACTGTAATTAAACTATACAAATAAACCAACATACTCTTTGAGTTTTTCAAGAATTGACAATGAAGAGTAAAGATGCTGAAAATTTTAGCTTTGCCATTACAGAAGTATATTAAAATACAAAACAGTTATTTCAAACAATAATAATATTTCTCAATATTACAGTTTACTTTATATTTGATCAAATGAATGTAGCCTGGTGAGCATAAAAGACGTCTCTCAAAAACATTGAAAAATCGTATCAACCTCAAACTTCCGAACGATAGTGTAAATTCCTTAAGTAAGACTGAAATTTGCCTCTGGATAATACAGTGTCTTTGTGTCCCTCCAGGTGTGTATGCTTTTGGCCTCTTTGCCACTGACATCTTTGTAAATGCTGGGCAGGTGGTAATGGGAAATCTGTCCCCACACTTCCTGACGGTGTGCAAACCCAACTACACAGCGCTGGGGTGCCAACAGGTGGTGCGTTTCATCAACCAACAGGAAGCCTGCACAGGCAATGAGGATGATGTCTTGCATGCTCGCAAATCCTTTCCATCCAAAGAGGCGGCCATCAGTGTTTATGCCGCTGTTTATGTTGCTGTGAGTAAACTCTACTTGTACACATACAGTACAATATAGAAAAGGGTCACACTGTAGTCTAAACAGCAAAAAACAAATAGGTATCTGGTTTTCTACGGCTAAGAAAGTTTTGGAAACGGTTGCGTTCTGTTTGTGGAAGCTTTATGCATGCTATTTCACATGTGAAGAGGTTGTTTATTAATTAAATCAGCAAAAATAAAAGGTGTAGTTCAAGGAAAAGTAACATTTTGTCAGAATTAACATTTTAGATCAAAGGATTTTGTTCTAACATTCCTTCAACTACTGTTGAGAGAAGCTTTGTATCCATACTATGGTATTGATCTAGGCATGAATTGGGTTTCATAACATGTTTTCAAAAATGGTACTCCTTTTAAAATAAAAAGCATAAAAATACATGTTCCATTTATTCTTGGAGTCTAAAAGCTACAAGGCTTCTCCCAGCAACACACAGCCTTCACTTTGGTCACATAAAATTGATTTTCATTTTCCATCAGTTCTCTGAAGGTTTTTAAGTTCCTTCCTTGCTTTCTGATTTTTGATCATGTTGACATCTGGAGTGACCTGTGAGATCTCACTCACCTTTCATCTCAGTCATATCCATTAAACTTTAAGCAGTGCCACAAGTTAGTGTACACATCAAACTTCACATTTCTGTGCATTGTCTTAATAAATAAATAAATAGCAGCATATTTCACCATGCAACCTTCAAACCTTAATCGTACTAATCAAATTGATTGCGTATGACTCATTAAATAAAACAGATAAAAGACACTCATTAAATAAATCAGAAATGGTTTATATTCTGAGTGGGCACTTTTAAATGCTAAAAGCCTCAAGACAGATGGTATGAGATCAATTTAATGGTTCCTATTACAATAATAAAACAAATAACTTCCCTAGAAGAAAAAAAACGTTCATCTGTCATATCCAAATGGCATTGTGTCATAGAGTTAGTGGAGAGGAGGATAGTCAATAGATCTACCATGACTAAGGGCTGCTCTATTATTTAATCACCTCGTTTTGCCTGTGATGGAATTTTAAAATAGTACTTCACCTGAAAATCGAAATTGTCTATTTACTTATTTTCTGCTACCTTTGTCCAGTGTGGCACAAAAGTACAAATTCATGAGCTGTAAAATACACCTTAACAAAGTTTGCGTCCAGATTAAAAAAAATATTCAACTTTTTATTTCATGAAAGGTGCTAAGACCAAGACCAAGATCAATCCCCCCATACCCCCTTCCCCCAAAGTTGTCCACCTTCCCTCATTCCCCTAGGGTAAAACCACAGGTTTTCTACAAAAACCACTAGACAAGCCTTCAAATGCCACCCTTCCAGTCAATGCCAATGTCTTGGATAATTGAAACTGTTGCTGAACCATGCAAATGTATTTGATTTGAAAAGCACTTGCATGTCAGCAGCATCAGACACATCCGTGCACACTGATCGTTGTAATTGGTGCATGTTAGAGTGCAGTTTATTAAACAGGCGTTTAACAGTAAAAATGAAACCTGTGTGTATTCAGACAAACATGTCCACACGTGAGCAGGGAATGAATGAACTATGAAAAGCGTTTACACAGTGGTTCGAATGAAGATGTATTACAAAGTGCTCCGTTCTTCCTCAGATGTACATCACAATCTCTGTGAAGGCCAAAGGGACACGGCTGGCCAAGCCGGTGCTCTCTCTGGGGCTCATGTGTCTGGCTTTCCTAACTGGGATTAATCGAGTGGTGGAGTACCGCAACCACTGGTCTGATGTCATCGCTGGCTTCATCATCGGTGGAGCCATTGCTGTCTTTATGGTGAGCTCACATATGAGAACACACTGATAATAAAGATACAAATTCATATGTTTTTTAAATACAAATGTATTTCATATAGTTGATATTCTTGAATATTTAAAAATACAAGTACTGAGTGTTTCTAATGAACTGAATACCCTTTTTACAGTGTATAACCATTTAGTTGTACACTATAAAAAATATTTTCAAGATTTGTTATCACAACATTTTTTCTTTTGTCAAATCAACTTAAATGATTTATTTAGTTCAGATAACTTATTATTTTGAGTTTCTGATGATTAAATGAATCTCCTTCATTGTATTAACTCACTTTTTCCAGTTCAATCAACTTAAATTTTAAGGCAATCAGGTTACTTAATTTTTTTAAGTTAAACCAACAATATATATATATATATATATATATATATATATATATATATATATATATATATATTTTTTTTTTGTATTAACTTCCGGTCAAAAGTTTGGGGTCAATTCAAAGTAACTGCTTTCTATTTGAATATATTTCAAAAAGTAATATATTCCTGTGATGATTTTCAGTATCATTACTCCAGTCTTCAGTGTGACATAACCCTTTCGAAAATCATTCTAACATGTTGATTTGATGCTCAAGAAACATTCTTATTATTATCATTGTTGAAAATAGACCCCAAACTTTTGAACAGTTGTACACAATAATGTAAAATACTGTATACTGTAGTGTTATGCAGTGTTGTTCTTTTTGCGTTTTTATATTTTGTGATTGATAAAACACAAATAGTAATTTTTAAAGTAATGTTACACTCAAGAAGAAATGTGACATATGGCTAGATAATTAGGTCAGGCCACAGGACAGGGCATATGTGTGGCTTCCTCTTGAACAAAACACAAGAGTTTGTACATTGCTGGGCACACTGTTGTTTGAAGAGTGCACAGTGAAGATGAGAAACTCATTGTGAGCATTAGAGGAAGGTCACACATGAGCTTATGCGTGCTTGCCTCACATTAGGCATAACAGCATTGTGAGTGAGTTTGTGGAAGCGTGAATATTTTAGTTTTTTGGTGCTTTAGTCATACTGTATGAGATATGCACTGACCTATTTCTGCTGTTAGGGTAGATTGGGGGAGGGGTGCATGGAGGAAGGTGAATATACACATTAAACTCATGGTCAGATCAAATCTCTTAAATGTCACATCATCAAAAAGGAGGCAGTAGTAGGCAACAACAGTTTGTTCTTAAGTAAATGCATTACAGTATTCTTGCTAATGTCTGTTTCCTTCTGATTCCCCTAGCAGTTTGTTTTGCAGTGGTGTTCAGCTCAAGGTGATGATATCGGCCTGCCGATATACTGTATCGGTCTGGCTCTAATTTGCACACCTTAACTCTCCCAGCATCTGACCAGCTCTCAATACACATATCTGTCATTTTGCAATTGAATCCTCTGATTTTCTAACAGACAAAGGTCAACCACAGAAAATGTAACAAAAGAATATTGTGTTTAATAATTCAATGTGGTCAATATGACCATCTAGAGCCTTGATTGCCTTATACAGACACTTTTAGGAAAAGTCAGGTGCTAGCAAGATTGTTTTTATTTTTTTTCAACAAAGTTTTTGCAGATCTAAAATAAATTCAAAAGGGTCAAAATGACCGTTGTGGCCGTTCTAGTGTTAAATAACAAAAATATTGCGCCATTGACTTTAGACCAGGTTTCAGTTGGTCAATGGCGCAGTCTATTTCAGTTGCCTCAAAAACCAACAATGCGCCTGAACATGCCTAATTTTCAAACCAGCATGCCAATGGGCGTACAAATGGGCGCAAATGCATTGGCTTTTTAAACAAGGCACAGGATGTGAAAATGATAACTGCGTCAGGCTGAAACTAGCAATAAACATTTGCGTCGCGCCTGGTGCTGCATTGCACCAGGTGTCCGATAGAGCCCAATGGCTCACTCTTAAAGACAGTGGATGTGTCCAAAATCGCATACTTTCTTGAGTATGTTGTGTATAGTATGAATGTGAGTAGTATGAATGTAGTCTGGATGTACTTCATTCGCCATGTTGCCATTATCATGTGACCTTCCAGTGACCTTCCGTTTCACTGCCATTCACAAATCCTCTCCTGTGGCCTCATCTAATAGTACATAGGGTGTAGAGTGTTTGGGACACTGTGCAGACAGGGCGCAGCTTGACCCGTCCGTTAATCTGTCCTTGGATTTTGGATGCAGTCAGTTACTTGTTTTGTTTCTGAACAATTGACTCACTTGTGAAGACTTGTCTTGGCTTATCGATGTAACTTGCTGTAGGAGTTGTTTCGTAATTGAGTATTAAAGTTTTCTTTACAAAACAAAAGTAGCGGCATTACATACTAAATTAATCACTTTTGGTTTACCACATATGGTAAAAACATTATTGATATATTTTTCAACCAGTTCTGATACTTGTAATACTATAATTTTATGTTGTGATAAAATCACAGCTATATTAGCCAAGCTGACAGGGCTACTTTAGCAACATTACATAAGTACAATTGGAAAACAATGTTCAGTATATCCCAAAAATTACAAAAAAAGTTTTCATTATGAGGCATACAAACACATATACATGATCAACAACCAAAAGACAGTGACTACAAGGGCTGGGTATTGACACAAATTTCACAATTCGATTCGATTTCGATTCACAAGCTTGCAATTCGATTCGATTCCGATTCGATTCAATATTGATTATTTTGGATATCAGTTACAATAAATGGCAAATTTTCACAAGGAAATGAAATCTCTTAACTAATGCTGTAAACTATGGGAGTCTAGTTGTAGCCTACTAGGCTTTATTAGCCTAATATGAAGGTAATAATTAACTGTTTTGTAGCAATACAAACACTTAAATTACACTTTTATTTATTTTTATAATAAGAAGATTGTATGAAATCATAAAAACTTGCCAGATTTATTCAAATATGCATTAAATATTAAAGAACATTAAGATTATAATGCATATGTAATATGGTGTATATATTTAGCAAAATGCTCCTCTCTGGAGTTATTTTTTCTAGCTGACTAACGAGTTTATGTGGGTTTTCTGAGGTAAATATGACGATGACATTGATTACAAGCTGTTTAACTGACGTCTTTCCACGGTTGAAACGCTGATTGAGCGAATCAATGTGACATGATACGGATTTCGATAAGTTGTACTCTATCTTTAACACACTTTCAGATGCTCATTCATGTTTATTTCGCGCTGTAACTGATATTATTAAGCCCGGAAGAGAGATCAGCGCTGCTGCTTCTCTTGAGCTGCGCCAGAGCGATCCCACGCCACAGCGCCAAAACGTTATTTATGTTTTTGAATTTCTAAAGAAAATGGACGTAATTTGAAAATTGAGACTTTGTTTCATATCAATAGTAACAAAGGACAAAGATTATTGCGAGACAATGTCCCATTCATTCAAATGAAACAGGGTGACTAATTGAATCTTGAGATTTAAGAATCGATATCGGTTCGTAAAAATGAGAATCGATTAATATCGCGAAATCGATATTTATTACCCAGCCCTAGTGACTACGCAGAACTCTCCTCTGTCCTCTCAGACAGAGCACAGAAAATTAATTCCTCTCATCTGTTTAGTTCAACTTATGAACTAATGAGATGTCCTCCGCTGAAACTCTCCCTTGTGTTATGCTTCAGTCTAGCAGAGCATTGCCTGTAGTGTCTCATTGAAAGAACTCATTTGGGTCCGATAATGGATGAATCTCCTCCAGGACATGGACTTGCATGCCCTCCCCAACCCCCCGAAAGAGCACAGAGCCTTTTTACTTTTGGCAACAAGTCATGCGAGCATCTTTGCCCTTTCGAGACTTACATAAATCATCATTTACACTCTGAGAAAAGTCATGCATGTGTGTGTGTGCTACAAAAAGCCTTTCAGAGGTGTAAAACTTCCCTCTTTTCTCTCTTTCCTTTCTCTTTCCCTACGGGCGCTCTTGTGTAAGGTGGTGTGTGTGGTGAAAAATTTCAAAGGGAAGCCTTTACTGGATGAGATACCGCCGGAGGAGAGTGTGTCCAGTGGTCCCATGATCAGTCAGCCAAGGATGGAGCACACCATAGAGAAATACATAGTGTCTCAGGTATTCAACCTCAAGCCTTCATGTACACTAGAATCATTAATCCAATTCAGTCATTATTACATATAAGTGCTTTATTATAGTAAGTGGCCATTTTCTATCCAAAATGAGATTATTAACAGCATTAACGCCTGATTATATCATCGTTTAAATGCCATGGCCTACCTGAGCATTGTTTCTGACCATGTCCATCCCTTTATGGCCACCCATAACACAGCTCATCATTTCAAATTGGTTTCTTGAACATGACAATGAGTTCACTGTACTAAAATGGCCCCCACAGTCACCAGATCTTAACCCAATAGAGCATCTTTGGGATATGGTGGAATGTGAGCTTCGTGTCCTGGATGTGCATCCCATAAATCTCCATCAACTGCAAGATGCTATCCTATCAATATGGGCCAACATTTCTAAAGAATGCTTTCAGCACCTTGTTGAATCAGTGCCACATATAACTAAGGCAGTTCTGAAGGTGAAAGGGGGTCAAACACAGTATTAGTATGGTGTTCCTAATAATCCTTTAGGTGAGTGTATGTCTCAAACCAAATCATTCATCCACACTTTAAATTAGCTAAATAATGTCATCCTTATATGGGTCATCTTATGAGTTTCCCTGTGGCAGTTTTCAGTTTTTGCAGCATTGAATTTTTAACTGTAGGGACAAGAATATAAAACCTTAAACGGTATTAAACGCACATTTTTGGTAAAAATGGGGCTTAAAAATGTCAAAGATCAGATGAAATCACAAGGAATGCAGCTGTTTGATCAAAAAGAAAATGAAAGCTCTGTTTGAGTACTGAACTTAATCTCTGTCCACTTCAGTTGATTCAAGCATAATAATGTACTTTTGCTGACAGCCATAACATCGAGCAGCCTTTGGATACTGAATATTATGTTCTGAATGTTAAATATGTTCTTCCCTAGTAAATCCCTTTATTCCTTTTCAGTATGTTCATTTGGCTCCTTTGCTGCAGGCCATTTCTTGTATCTGTGTCACAAGAGATCAGAGTTAGTCAGTGGGGTTATCTTCCAGTCTCAGGAAAAAATAGGCACATGCAGCTGAATATATAATCCAAATGAATTAGATGTACATTTTTCTGATGTTGTTTTCCAGGTTGCATGAATTAGGCTTTTAAGTCCTATGTTTTCCACCTCAGAGAGCTAATTATTAAATCACAGATGTCCACAGATCAGATATACGCTGCTGATTGTTTCAATATTCAACAGCATTGTTCAGCAGGGCTGACACACAATACTCAACAGGTAGTAGTAGGTACCCATAAGGTCATGAACCCACAGTCCAGTTGCAGATATTGTTGCCTTTGAATTCCATTTTTCATCAAAATCAGAGGAGTCCCGCCCATCTTTGATTAATAGTTCAATATGACTTCCCAGGATTCATTTCGAATTCATATAAGTGCGAGCGCAGGAGCTCGGTGAGGCCGTTCATCAAGATTACGTATAAGCCCAAGACATGTGCACCTGCAATGCATGGCTATAGCACTCACGTCACACTTGGTTATTTCAAGGATACATCATTAATCTTTAAGGTAGCTATTACTTATTTCCACAGCCTTGAAGTGTGCACCAGTTCTTTAACTTTGTGAAAAGCAGCTGTTAACGCTCCTAATGTCTCAATGACCAAAAATATTTTACATTTAAATTTGAAACATGACAAATCTGTTGTTGGATTCAAATGGTTTTGAACATTTTTGAATACTGAAGGCATCTAAAAATACCATATTTATTATCACAAATATGTACTAGTAGTAGTAACTATATTATCGTTACACCTTGAATATGTTTGTGCATTATTTATTAGATCTATACAACATGAGTGTGATGTAATTAACCCAGATGTATATTTTTGGTTGATTTTCAGAATCCCATCACCTACGCTGAGATCACATGACAATAAAAAGCCTGCTAGCGAGACGAATGCTGTGGATAAAGTTGCTGCTCTCCGGTGTGACTTCTTACTTTGAGTGCAACGTCGATATGTTCTACTTTTAGACATCTATTTTCAAGTGTGTGAAAAAATTGTTGTCCTTCATGTAACTCTTTTTTTTTTTTTTTTTTTGAAAATAGGCATCATAGGGTCGCATCCATATTTTTATACAAACATCACTGTTAGCATTTTTTAGGTGTGTAGGGTATGGAGTGAAAGTGGAATTGCAACATGATGTCAAATGACATGTGTTGAACAAATTCTGATGTTTCATTTACAATTTGCTCATGCAGACTTGTGCTGGCAGGCAGGCTCATTATAGAGAGCATTTGACTGATCCAAACACAGTGTAGTACATGATGAGTATTTCCAGGAACGTATAGGATTAGCATGGTCTCAATGGACCAAAAATAAACCCTCTAATTTTGATTTCACACGGTGATCTGATGTGGGCATGAGGTGATAAACCTAAATCATGATTGATTTTGGTGTGGTAATGGCAGAGAGCACCTTGGGCAGAGCTGAGGGCTTTAATTGTGACTGGCAATGCATTACAGGGCTCACAAAAGATGCTCAAGCTTTTGTCCAAAGAGGCTGCTGGGTTGTTTATGAAGCGTTGCTTTGTGTGTTTTTATGTGGCCAGTGTGTGCATTTGTGAGCCTGCCCTTGATGTTGCCTCTGTGAGAACACAGTCTCTAGTTGCATAGAGAAGGCTTTTTTTTTTCTCGCCAAACACTGGAATAACACCTGAGCATGTCAAAGAGAGAGAGATAGAGGTGGGGATGTAAAGATAGAGGGGATTCACCTTCATTGTGTGAAAACAGTCAGTTTATACAGCAATGTTTGCATTTGGACACATTTGCAATTTCACAGTTGTATGTGTTTTAATTGTATCACAGACCTCGTAGCATTAAAAATAAGTTTTTGGTTAAATTTTTATTCTGCAGAATGATTTGATTTACTATACCGAGCATATGTTTGATCTCTCACTGGCCAGTGATGAGATTCGATTTTCAAATGAATGCTTTAATACATTAAATATGATGTCTCCTAATGAAGTAAATCATGTATCCTGTTTATCTCACTCATGTAGTGCTTCTGAACATCCCCAACCCTTTTATGTCCAATGTTAGTGTCAGCAGTTGATGCTTTCATCATGGAAAGCTTGTGAATATGAGAGTTTTCGGCTGGCTAACTGAATAGTTTATAAGGCACACAAAGCTGTGTTGAGATTGTGAAAGTACTAAATAAATTGAAATGGTGAATCAGATAGAGCTACTGCATTAACTGCACAATGACTTTAATTCAGGGTTATGTATAATGACAGTTGTTTGATTTACCCCCTCACCCCTGGGTTGGTACTGTTACTGTATGTGATATGGATATATGTGGGTTTTTTTTTTAGATTATGTTCCAGTCATGCAAGCTATATGGTAACTCCTCGTTTTTTCCTATGAGATTTTTTAGCAAACTTTTGAAAAGTTGTTTACAGTATACTTTCCTTCATATTTGGTTTGCAATAGGATTTGATGCCTATAACCCCAATGTTGTGAATGGAATTTTGATTTTGTGAAAAAGCTTGAAATGTTTTTATAACCATATTGTGTATATGTTGGACAGTTTATTTAACAGCTTGTGTCGATGGTCAATCATTGACCTCTGAGACTGAGCTGGAAAGAAAAGCAGATCTTCCCTGAGCCCGAGGTGTCACAGTAATAAAATATTCATTCTCAGACTCACTTTATATCTTTTATGTATGATCTCTTGCGTTCTGTGATTTTTTTTTGTCCATAATATATAATTTGAAGATGCAGTTTCTCATTATAAATTAATAATTTACTGTTCTGTTATGTAATAAAAAAAATCAGAACTGTGTGTGTTAACTTTGTCTGAGCTGGATGATATAGCTAAAATAAAAAAACATTTTTATTTTTGTCATTTGTAATAGTCAATTTATATCTTGATATTTTCTCTAAAATTGCTTAAATGAGTGATTATTGTTCAATGCAATAGTGTATTTTTTATATAAAAGGCTAACTCACAATGCAAACAACAAAAATATTTACTTGACATTTTTTGCTGCAACATGTTAAATCATGTAAAATGCCAGCAGAGAATCATTAAACTAATCTTTTAACAGTTCATGGGCTTCTCGGATTTCATCAGAAATATCCTAATTTGTGTTCCGAAGATGAACGAAGGTCTTATGGATTTGGAACGACACCAGGCCAAGGGTGAGTAATTAATCTAATTTTTGGGTGAATTAACCCAGACTGGAGTAATGGTCGTAAACAGTTAGCTACTTTAAATTGTAATATATTTGTTTTTACTGTATTTTTGCTAGCACATGATTATTAGTGAGTAAGACTGCCGAAAAATAAGTGACTACTGAAATTTGTTTATACCTTAAGGTCTAAATTAAAATATAAGTAATTAAAAATAGTTACTTTCTTTAGAAATATAATTGAGTAAAGTGTTCACTACTTACTAGAATAGATCAAGATGACCCTGAAGTGTAAACATGAAAGCTGTGATTTATAATGATATTGAAATAATGGTCTCGGAGGTCTCATCTCTCCATTGGACTGATTATACACGTGCTTCACGACGCAATCATGCAGGGGCGTTCCCACAGCACCTCGTCGCAGCTTGAGCTCCATTGAAAGGGAAATAATGTTTCGGTTCAAATATATCTCAGCATCTCATAGACTGTCCTGTGTTCTTTTGTCTGTGCCCTTGTCATGCCCTTCCTTTGAATTTAATTATTTTTATGAGAAGCTTGAATGAAATCTTCAGAAATGAAATCAAGATTCCCCCTGGGTACAGAGTTCTTGAAATGTCATTCGAAACATCCAATGAATTTTTAATTTACATTTTGTCCATGGGAGACTTTAAATGGGGCAGAGGGGAGGTGGTGGGCATATGCACTGGGACTCACCCACCACCACACATTAATGGGGGAGATGAAAGCAGGACGTCCAGGAGGACCCCCGAACTCCAGCATCCTTATGCTTTGACCAGCAGCTGATATTGAGTGTGACAATCATGTATGCTGCCATAACAGTATATTCATAATGTGATCATGGTAAAGGCCTAGTTTTTATTTTGAGTTTAAATGGGCTTAAATGTGATTTTTAATATATATATATATATATATATATATATATATATATATAATTGTAATATTTTTTCCAATTATTTTTGTTTATTCTACCAATATCGAAGTCACTGTAAGTCATAGGTCTGGCCTTCGGGGCTTCAATAGCATGTTTATCATTCCCTTGTTATTTAGTGGGAAAGGTCAGGATTAGGGTAAGGATATTGATCCAGAAACAAGTCCTTTCTGGTTAAATCACAAAGCCTGGCACAATCATAACAAAACACTGCAGAGTGTGATGAATAACAAACAGACATCTGCCAATGACAGCTGTGGAAGGTCTCACAGCACCAATGCATCAGCAGCCATGTGGATGTATGCTTTCATTGGGGCGCAATAATTGGATGCTTTCCTTTGCCGAGACACAAACTCTGCATTGCATGAAGCTGCACTTGATTTGACATAAATCAAGACTCATTACAATGCTTTATCTGGCTGAGGACCTGAAAATGACCAGTGTAATTGCATTTGGTATAAATAGAGCTGGTTCTCTTGTGTTGTCTATTTTTTAAATCAGAGTCAGTGTAACAACTGTAGAGGATAGGTTAGAATAAAATGGTTAAACAAAAGTGTCAACTGAGACACGTTGTCTTCATTGTCATCACAATATCTTAAAAGTTAGTTTCTTTTAAAATTATAAGCATAAGTTTTATGAGGGCAAATGCCTTACGGGATTTATTACAGTCAATATTCTAAATTGTTAAAAAAGGTTTGTTTTAATATTTTAAAGTTATTCTGAATGCTCTGATGGATAATTTATTTACTCAGGATGAGGCCAAGATGCATCAAGATAGAAGCTGAAAACATTAAAAATGTTGATGTTCTGATGCATGTCAGGAAAAACAATGAACAAATGAGAGAAAGAAACACCACTTGCTGCGGGCAAGCTAGAACTGGTGCGTTCAAGCATTTTATTATTGATTATCATCAATAATTAAGTCCAGATGTTAGAGGCTGAGTCTTAAGAACGTCTCGGTTATGTATGTAACCCTTGACTGATCGGGATCATGCCAGGGAGCCAGTCATCTTCGAGTACTATTGAAACGAGCCAATGAATTTGGCGTGCGTGATTTGCATCACACACTCCACGCCTGCGGCAAGAGGATGCACGCCACGCACTAATTTCTTTTTTGCTGAGGAGCCGAGTGTAACTCGGACTCAGTGACTACACTCCGTTTCCTCCTTCAGGGAATGAGGGTTACAACCGTAACTGAGACATTCCATTTAAGCTGCTCATGTTCAGCGTAGTCGACGTGTCCCAATTAAAACACCACTAGTGCTGCCACCTTCCAGTGCCTTGACAAAAGCTTCTGATCCCCCGCATTACTGAGGCGGAGATGGGATAGGGCTTAGGCCAGGGAAGTCACTGCTGTTCCACAGGATCAATGGGGAAGCGTACCCTCAATCAATGGAAGGAAGGGACGCTGTGGAAGCCATGATCCAAAGAGGCAAGCTCGAAGAAGACGGAGTCCGGCATTACAGGTAACGTCAGCCATAGGTGTGTCTCAGCAATGGTGATAGAACCCATGTTCCGCCTGATGGCCGGTGCAGCGGCCGCGGCGCGAGGAGCCAGGTCCGTAGCGCTCCTCAAATCCGGCATGCTGATAGCTTCCGGAACTTCCGGGTGAGCTCCACCCTCTGCACTTTTCATTGTGGCAAGAAAGAGGTTAGGGCGTTTTTACTTATTTCTTCTATTTTACCTGTGATATGCTTCATTTGGGATTGTAAAGTGTCTTGCTTAGATCTGATGAATCTATGTCTCTGATGAAGATCTGACCTGATGAAGCTTGGCCACTGACTGTTTTTCAATATTTTGTGTGATTTTCATCTCCGCGAGATTGCGCTCAAAGTCTGCGCTCCCGTCCAAGGCCTGCAGGACCACGTCTGCCTTTGTCGGCCATGCTTATGCTGCACTCGATGGCTGTGCTTCAGATCTTTCAAGCAGATCTTCTTTGTGAGTGGGACGAGAGAGCACAGGATCAAGCCGCCGTCACGGACCTGAGAAGCGTGATGGACTTTTCCCTTCACGCTACCAAGTCCGCAGCACAGGCCATAGGTTGCATGGCCGCACTGACTGTTACAGAGAGGCACCTCTGTCTGACGGTTGCTGACATGAGGGAATCTGAGCGTGCCACGTGAACAGGATCGTCGACCGCTTCTCCGAAGTACAGAAGACCACGCAGGCCATGAACTTACCTGCCAAACCTGCCTAACGTAACTTTGGTTCTCTCTAGAAGAGGGAACGATTATTGCATAAGCTGCCATGCTCGCGCCACAAGCAACTGTACAGAACACAACTGTACAGCACAAACAGTTTGCCAACAAATCCTGCAGTATCCACATTTTTCCAGTGTTGAGAAACTCACTATGTTACCCCGGTGATCGACATGCAAACTGTTTTCTCAACCTGCTCAACATTTTGAATTCACAATGAGCTCACATAGGCTTGTTTGAGATGCGCCTTGCCTTGCCTGAAATGTAGTCGAGAGTAGGCGGCTGCAGTGAGAGGAGGAGTGAAAAAAGCGGAGGCAAGCCGGACAGATCTCGGTTCTCGCAGTGGATCAGACACCTGTGAGATCAAAGACTGATATCGCGGGATTCACGCTCGTGCACGTGTTGCTAATAAACTGGATGTGTTTGAAGTTCTGTTGCTTTTATATGAAAATAAATATAATGAACAAGACACCCAAAGTACTTGTTATTTAATTACATTCCAAAATGACATCACATGATAACCCATTTGGCATTGTCAGAGAGTTTATTCACCCATACTGTATGTAGGCCTATAACATGATATCAGTTTTAAAATTAAAACATTTTAAAACAGAACGATTCATCACTGTTGTTTAAACCAATGAGCATTAAGCTGTGTCGTCAGCAAGTCGTTAACCGTCGTGCTTTTGATCAGCGCAGTCGTTGGAGAGCAACTGCGCGCGACTGCCGAATCCGACTGGTGCGCCTTGCGCTCGCGAGAGTTTTTTTTGACATAGGCTACGTCGGCATGCATCTCTCGGCATGACATCAGAGCCAGGCGGAATGCTCTCGGACACATTTCTGTTCTAACCGGCATGCATCTCGCGCTGATCGTCGTCGGTGATCGATTCTGCGCAGATTTTGCTCATCTCAAACAAGCCTCTTGTGAGTATCACAGTATGAGAATTGTGTCACTGCTCACCATTTTTTTTTTAAATTCACAATGAGCTCACTTATTTCTCACAGTCTGTATCATAATATGAGAATCATTTGAATTCACAATGAGCTCACTTATACTCACACTGTGAGATTTACAGTATGAGAATCGTTTGATTTCACAACGAGTTCATATTACACTGTGAGTATCACAGTATGATAATAGTGTGATGTCACTGTGATCATCGAATGATCTCACGTGTTGACTCGGTACATTTTATCCCTCAATAAGCAGGCTGAGTGTGTCCCTTTAGCCTATATACCACAGAGCTCTAGGGCATTTCAGTTTCAAAAGAGAGAGAGAGAGAGAGAGAGAGAGAGAGAGAGAGAGAGAGAGAGAGAGAGAGAGAGAGAGAGAGAGAGAGAGAGAGAGAGAGAGAAGAGAGAGAGAGAGAGAGAGAGAGAGAGAGAGAGAGAGAGAGAGAGAAGAATGGTCATTTGATGGGCTGCCTGCCGCTCTGTCTTATTGAATCAGGCGAGTATCTCAGTGCCCCAAATGCATCCTCTCTTACAATGAAAGTTTTCACTGCAGAGATAAAACAGAAAGCTGAAAGAGCAGAGCTCCCGGCCGGGGCTTACACTTACTT